CAACAACAACAACAAGGAGAACGACACATGTAATGGCAATCATCCAATATTACTACACCCTGACTGAAAAACAAAAAATACCCTTCGAACAGAATTCGAAGGATGAAAAATATATATTTTGTGCTACCAATTCCAAATTGGTTTGATCTCCCCCCTCAAAAAGTTGTTTTCAAAAAGGACTCAATGATTTATTTACACAGTCCTTGGCCAATTGAAGACGATTGTTCTTCTGACGATGATGATGATGTCTATATCGAATGTATTTCGGATGGGTGTTCGGTTGTGAGTGTGTCTGTGTGTTTGAGGATACAATTCTCTTTTTGTTTTTGTGGGATGGAATTATTTACTCAAAACGAGATTTTTGTGTTATTGTTGTTGTTGCTGTTGCTGTTCCGCAACAACATTATGCGAATTGTTGTTGGGGCTGTATTGTGTCTGGCTGACTGCCAGCCCCAGCCTTCCTTCCGTCCTGCTTCCCATCATTTGTATCCATTCCCTGCAGGAATTGAAATGACTGTTTGTTTTTGTACCTGTTGCCTTCTAACTATGAACTCAGATCCTTTAATGGGTGGCAGTTTGGCTGCTTGGCTGGGTGACTGGTTGGGCGTATGATAATTGGTATTCTGCGCATATCTGCTGCTTGTTCAAACAAAACAGAAATTTCAAAATTATTGTTTTCAAATACACCCGTAATAATTTCTAGTCTAGGTCATTGCAGCGTTTTTGGAATTTTTGGCGATTTTTTCTATAAGGGAGAATACATGATACTACAGGCGAGCTGAGGGCAGGATGTCCTCTATAAGCGAACTGAAGGACAATGAGTCTTCTACAGGCGAGATGAGGACAGGGTGACTTCTATATGAGAGCTGAAGGACAGGGAGTCGTCTATAGGCGAACTGAGAGCTGCCTTATATAGACTATCTGAAGGACAGGGAGTCTTTTATAGGAGAGCGGAGAGCAGGCTAGCTTCTATGGACGATCTGAAAGACTGGCTGCATTCCATAGGGGATATGTACAGCCGGGAGTCTACTATAGACGACCTGAAGGGCAGGGAGTCACCTGAAGGCCAGGGAGTCTTCTACGGGCGAGCTGAGGGTAGAGTGTCTTCTGTAGGCAAGCTGAAGTACAGGAGGCTTCTATAGGCGAGCTGAAAGGCAGTTAGTTCTCTATAGGCTAGCTTCTATGGACGATCTGAAAGACTGGCTGCATTCCATAGGGGATATGTACAGCCGGGAGTCTACTATAGACGACCTGAAGGCCAGGGAGTCACCTGAAGGCCAGGGAGTCTTCTACGGGCGAGCTGAGGGTAGAGTGTCTTCTGTAGGCAAGCTGAAGGACAGGAGGCTTCTATAGGCGAGCTGAAAGGCAGTTAGTTCTCTATATATGTGATGGGCAGAGAGTCTTCTATAGTCAAACTGAAGGCCAAGGACTTTTCTACAGGCGAGCCTTGGGCAATGTTCCTTCTATAGTCGATCTGATGATCGTGAAGGGCAGGACGAAGGAGACGGGCTGAAGGCGGGGGGGTCTATAGACAAGCTGAAGGCTGGGAGTCTCAATAGACGATCTCAACGCTGGGAGTCTCTATACACGATCTCAAGGCTGGGTGTCTATAGACGAGCTGAAGGCTGGGAGTCTATAGACGAGCTGAAGGCTGGGAGTCTATAGACGAGCTGAAGGCTGGGCATCTATAGACGAGCTGAAGGCTGGGCATCTATAGACGAGCTGAAGGCTGGGCATCTATAGACGAGCTGAAGGCTGGGCATCTATAGACGAGCTGAAGGCTGGGCATCTATAGACGAGCTGAAGGCTGGGCATCTATAGACGAGCTGAAGGCTGGGCATCTATAGACGAGCTGAAGGCTGGGCATCTATAGACGAGCTGAAGGCTGGGCATCTATAGACGAGCTGAAGGCTGGGCATCTATAGACGAGCTGAAGGCCGGGCATCTATAGACGAGCTGAAGGCCGGGCATCTATAGACGAGCTGATGGCTGGGCATCTATAGACGAGCTGATGGCTGGGCATCTATAGACGAGCTGAAGGCTGGGCATCTATAGGCGAGCTGAAGGCAGGGAGTCTATAGGCGAGCTGAAGGCAAGTATTCTATAGGCGGAAGGAAGGCAGGGAGTATATATGCGAACCGCTTCATAGAGAAGACAGTGGAACAGTAGGGGTTTTCTAGAGAATCCAAAGGTCCCCTTATAGACAAACTGATGAAGGACTATAAAGATTTAAGGAGGTCTTCCAGTTAAAATCAGAGCCCAATACTAAATACACAAAGCAATCACAAAGTTCCTATCTTCATATCTCGATTTTGTGAAGCAAAAACCGCTGACAGGGCATATCACTGTCACACAGTGTCAACAAGTAATCTGTGCGCAGATGCGAAAAAATATGCCTTCCCAACCTCAACTTCGCTGTGGTGAAAGACAGGGAGATACTTTAAAGTCACGCCTGCCACACGGAAAAGGTACAACAAAACTTGTGATGTTTGTGAGGACGGCGGAACGTCGTTTCCACTGAAAAGTCCTGTTTTGTCTGCGATATCACTATCAGCATCTATTCATTCATGTCGATGCATTGGAGTCGATAAGAATTTTTTTGTTTGTTTGTAGCAATAGCAAATTCATTGACCTACATCACCTGATTATGCGGTGGGTGACAGCAAGCAGCTCGACGACACCTTAGAAAAAAAAAATACCTCAACAAATGTGCCGAAAGAAATAACTAAAATTAATGACAACGTCGTCTGGAAATGAATGAATACATCAATGATTTTTTTTATTCTGAAGTCATGACAAATGGATGACAGGGCAACAATAATAACAATGATGGAGAGATTATCGAGATTTCAGGACAGGATTTTTTAAGGAATATTTTTTCAAGGCTTAGCCAAGGCGTGGATTTTTAAAGAAGACTTTTTTCAAGGCTTAGCCAAGGCGTGGATTTTTAAAGAAGACTTTTTTCAAGGCTTAGCCAAGGCGTGGATTTTTAAAGAAGACTTTTTTCAAGGCTTAGCCAAGGCGTGGATTTTTAAAGAAGACTTTTTTCAAGGCTTAGCCAAGGCGTGGATTTTTAAAGAAGACTTTTTTCAAGGCTTAGCCAAGGCGTGGATTTTTAAAGAAGACTTTTTTCAAGGCTTAGCCAAGGCGTGGATTTTTAAAGAAGACTTTTTTCAAGGCTTAGCCAAGGCGTGGATTTTTAAAGAAGACTTTTTTCAAGGCTTAGCCAAGGCGTGGATTTTTAAAGAAGACTTTTTTCAAGGCTTAGCCAAGGCGTGGATTTTTAAAGAAGACTTTTTTCAAGGCATAGCCAAGGCGTGGATTTTTTAAGAAGACTTTTTTCAAGGCTTAGTCAAGGCGTGGATTTTTAAAGAAGACTTTTTTCAAGGCTTAGCCAAGGCGTGGATTTTTAAAGAAGACTTTTTTCAAGGCTTAGCCAAGGCGTGGATTTTTAAAGAAGACTTTTTTCAAGGCTTAGCCAAGGCGTGGATTTTTAAAGAAGACTTTTTTCAAGGCTTAGCCAAGGCGTGGATTTTTAAAGAAGACTTTTTTCAAGGCTTAGCCAAGGCGTGGATTTTTAAAGAAGACTTTTTTCAAGGCTTAGCCAAGGCGTGGATTTTTAAAGAAGACTTTTTTCAAGGCTTAGCCAAGGCGTGGATTTTTAAAGAAGACTTTTTTCAAGGCTTAGCCAAGGCGTGGATTTTTAAAGAAGACTTTTTTCAAGGCTTAGCCAAGGCGTGGATTTTTAAAGAAGACTTTTTTCAAGGATTTCTTCATATCCTTTCAAATTAGAACCCTCCTCCACCAACCTTCTTCTATACCTTTTCGTAGTCAATTACGAATGCACCCTTGTTTTCCAATCATCTTCAAAACGAAAGGAAATCCAATAAATAAATAAATAAGTATCCTTTCGTTTGAAATGATAGTTCTACGAAAGGAAATGGCAAAGTAGTAAATTTTTAAGAAAATGGCTTCTTTTGTTAGTGTTCGCTTCGCTTTTGTATATAAAGATTTTATTGTATTGTATCCTTGTTACATGCACATGCCTTTGTATATCCTTTCGAATAATATCCTTTAGTTGTTGCTTTATCTTTATATATACAAGAATAATAGTTTTCACATAGAGACGTAACAAAACTTACACAAAGATATACCCAACCAGGCATGACTTCCATGCCAAGTCCCTGCTCTGAATTGCATTCCATTGTTTGGGGACGAGAAAAGAATGGCATTACATTGGAACTCCTTTTGTGTGTGGCTGTCGGGGAAGGAAGAAACGAACGAACGAAGAAGAATCGTATTGTAACCACATAAGAATGGATTCGTTGTGCGCAAGTCAATAATTGCTGCAATCCTCCGATTCTGTTGTTGTAGTTGTTGCACTGAACGATGATTCGGTTCCTCCTCCACATGGGAACAAATAAAAATGCAACAAAAGAAGCACCTCTTTCGTTTTCCTTCTCCTTGGTGGGGCCTCCGGAGGAGGGAGGGAAGGAGAGTGTATTTGTAATCCAACCAACCATTCGGAATCGAGGTAAACAATAAGTAAGGACAAAAGCTTTACATGTATTGTGTATGCTGCACACATAAATAGTTCGGAGTGCATGTGTGTGGGTATAGGTTTTGCTTTGTATTTCAAATTGTAAGATAGTGATATAGTCAACAGTACCCTACAGTATGGACTTAAGGATATAGAAATTTAAAAAATGTGCATTTTTTAAAGATTCATTTTTCAAGGTCTCCACAAGGCGTGGATTTTTTAAAGATTCATTTTTCAAGGTCTCCACAAGGCGTGGATTTTTTAAAGATTCATTTTTCAAGGCCTCCACAAGGCGTGGATTTTTTAAAGATTCATTTAAAGTTTATAACATCATAATTATAAGAGTTTTTTAACTTACCGGAAATATTGATCCGCTGCAATAACCTCTTCTCCTCCATTTGAAATAAAAATTTGATTTTCGCCAAATTATAAAGAAATGTATTCCTCAGCAAAAATTTTTCTACAGCGATGACAAACGATAATTTTGAAAACGGTTATCATTACCACGTTGCGTTCGCTGTCTAAATCGTCCCAAACCATTGCCATATTTCTGTGGAAATGCAGCCTGAAGACACGATAGCACACCACGGGTTGCATACATCTTCGATGACCAGCGGCAGGTGCAGGGAGCCATGCAATTTTTACACTGCCTCACAAAGTCCTTGTTTCTCTCCTTTAAATGTGGCAAGCATTTCAAGGTCCACGGTGCTCGATAATCCAACTCGGACCATGAACATTCGCATGGTGGTAAACATGGACAATGTTTTGAGGGTTTCATGCTCTCCTCTGGCTGAGGCTTTCCATGACAACGATACAAATCGTAACGATTTACACCACCAATTAGTTCGGTTTGTTCGGGTACCTTTTCAAAATTTAACCATTTTTCCAGCAAATCCCAATGTCGTAAGTATGGTTCCCGTTTACGTATCATCTGTAATTTACGCCATAAATCGGAACGTCTTGTGGTTTCATAGGATTTTCCAGTTTTTACACGAAATAATTTATAAATTTCTTGATGAAATTCAGGATAGTGACTCAGGCTTCGTGCAAATTTTGTCATTTCGAAGTAGAATAGGGATCGAATACCATATGCCAAATGCTTGATGTGCTGGAAATCTTTTATGTTCATGGCCGAGAGGGCTGAGGCGTCCAATAGCAGGAGGGTGTGCCCGTTGATGTGATTCGCACGAAAAGTGTTCTGAAATAAAAAGAAAGGAAGAACATTAGGTGTGCAAAATATACATGGATTTTTAAAGATTAATTTTTCAAGGCCTATAAGAGGCGTGGATTTTTAAAGATTAATTTTTCAAGGCCTATAAGAGGCGTGGATTTTTAAAGATTAATTTTTCAAGGCCTAATAAGAGGCGTGGATTTTTAAAGATTAATTTTTCAAGGCCTATCTCAGAGGCGTGGATTTTTAAAGATTAATTTTTCAAGGCCTATCAAAGGCGTGGAATTTTCCAATGCCTATCAAAAGCGTGGATTTTTTAAAGATTAATTTTTCAAGGCCTATAAGAGGCGTGGATTTCTTAAAGATTAATTTTTCAAGGCCTATAAGAGGCGTGGATTTCTTAAAGATTAATTTTTCAAGGCCTATAAGAGGCGTGGATTTCTTAAAGATTAATTTTTCAAGGCCTATAAGAGGCGTGGATTTTTAAAGATTAATTTTTCAAGGCCTATAAGAGGCGTGGATTTTTAAAGATTAATTTTTCAAGGCCTATAAGAGGCGTGGATTTCTTAAAGATTAATTTTTCAAGGCCTATAAGAGGCGTGGATTCTTTAAGGATGAATTTTTCAAGGCCTATCACAGGCGTGGATTCTTTAAGGATGGATTTTTCAAGGCCTAAGACAATGCGTGGATTTTTTAAGGATGAATTTTTCAAGGCCTATCACAGGCGTGGATTCTTTAAGGATGAATTTTTCAAGGCCTATCACAGGCGTGGATTCTTTAAGGATGAATTTTTCAAGGCCTATCACAGGCGTGGATTATTTAAGGATGAATTTTTCAAGGCCTATCACAGGCTTGGATTATTTAAGGATGAATTTTTCAAGGCCTATCACAGGCGTGGATTATTTAAGGATGAATTTTTCAAGGCCTATCACAGGCGTGGATTTTTAAGGATTAATTTTTCAATGCCTATTAGAGGCGTGGATTTTTAAGGATTAATTTTTCAAGGCCTATCACAGGCGTGGATTATTTAAGGTGGATTATTTAAGGATGAATTTTTCAAGGCCTATCACAGGCGTGGATTATTTAAGGATGAATTTTTCAAGGCCTATCACAGGCGTGGATTATTTAAGGATGAATTTTTCAAGGCCTATCACAGGCGTGGATTATTTAAGGATGAATTTTTCAAGGTCTATCACAGGATTAATTTTCACCTTACCTGATATTGACAATACCCATATCCCCTTAGCCATTTACAAATATCCTCAATATTCCATTCGTATACCGAAGGTAAAGGCATTGCATCCACAATCTTAACACAAAGATTCAGCAACGTGTCCGGAGAACATTTGAAAACAATCGGTAGATCATGCTTGTCAAATTCAAATTTCCCACGTGTTATCGAATCCAAACGGAATTTATATGAAGACAAAGAATTTTGTAACTTCGTCGAATCCTCAGCCAAGGGCTTTACATATTTTTCATCCGATGCTTTGTAAAGGTAACGCATGTTTAATGCTCAAGGGTACAAATGCAACTATTATTTGATTCCGCCGAACAATAGGCAAAAACGTTCTCCAGCGAACACAATACAAAATAATTTCCAAATGAAGAAACTTTATTAGAATTTTTTCTGACAAACACACACACATAGAGAAATGCCTACATCGATATTTTGTGAGGAAAACCAAAAGTTTTTCCTATCGATTTGCAATGAACAATTTGTAATCTATGTTGAGGCCTAGTGGGAGGGAGGTAGGAAACCTCGAATTGAATAATCATAAAGTATTTCTTGTAATTTCCTTTCATTGTACACCAAAATGACTACAACAATCTGTAAAGGCATTACCTAGTTTGTGGCCCAATTCCTTCTAAAAATTCCGCCACAACACCTCCCGCAAACCCCCTTGGTAATTGGCAAAGTTTGTTAGACGTTGCAAAAACTGTTTCCCCCAAAACGAACTCCGCCGGAAGTAGGTGTCTCAAACTAGCGGAGTTATTATTGAACTGTTACAGGATTAATGTCGAAGTAAAACATGATTATGTGCTGTTGTTGTAATTGTTGTTGTTGCTGTTGTTTGGGGGAAAATTTAGTCAACCGGTGATTGATTTGCGGTTTGGCTACAACTTGCCAATGTAACAACCTCTACCATTACCGAACTTCGAACTGTCAATAGTTAATAAGGACCCTGAACTATTTATTGGTGTATTGGCATTTTATGGATGTTGGTGTATGTGTGTGTGTATGAATATTTTGTTGTTGAGCGGAAGGAAGGAAAATTGTAAATTTTGTTTATAACGGAAATTACCGATCATTGAAATTTCAGGTCATTTAGCCAGGACAAACAGGTAATTTAGGTTAGCTGGAGTTTAGTTAAAAAGTTGTTTTTTTTTTCACTGTAATGACCCAGCAGGCGACTAACAGACAGACCGACAGTTCGGAAGTATTATTTGCAGTAATTAATTGACTGTGACCTAAATAGGAAAATGCTTAATGCAATTGGCAATTAAATGAAGAAGCATTGAATTTTTAGGGTGGCGGAGGGGGTGATAGATACCAAGAAACGGCTCTGATTGGCTTTAACATGGCGAAGTCCAGGCTTATTTTGATACCTCTTTCATCTCAACTGTGGACACTTACCTCCCCTCGGTGCCACCTGGGGTAGCTATTCTCATCATCCTTTGAAATAGCGGGCTGATATGTGCCGTGAGTTCACCCAGAAGAATTATAAAAAAATGGGTTGAGGCGTCGGGTTAGTTGCCCACACTCGGAAAACCCCTCATACTATGAAAAAGCAAAGAAAAAGAAAACCAAATCCAGAATAAAAGACCTCGTCTCCAGATTCACTCCAGTAGATGAGCGAATTACTATAATCCGAATAAAAGCGAAGTTCTTCTACATCAGTCTCATTTGCGCCCATGCTCCGACCGAAGACAAAGATGAACAGACCAAAGACATATTTTATGAGCACCTAGAAACAGCATATGATCGCTGTCCTGGCCATGACATTAAAATTCTGCTAGGAGATTTTAATGCAAAAATCGGAAGGGAAAATATCTTCGGAAAATTCAGCATTCATGAAGAAACATCCGACAACCAGATTCAAGCATCTCGATATACACAAGTCCACCAGGATTTCTCTCGATCAAGCAATGAAAAATCAAATTGATCATGTTGTGATAGACGGAAGGCATTCGTCCAGTGTATTAGACGTTCGATCGATCCGAGGAGCGAATATCGATTCGAACCACTATCTTGTAGCAGCCAAGGTTCGCACTCGTCTTAATGTTGCAGCAAAGGTGCGATCGGAAAGCTGCAAACTCAATAGGTAGCCGAGGCCTACTCCGCTCAACTTACCTACCTGCTTGACGAAAGCACTTCTTGTCCCGATAATATTATAGGCACACCTGGATTTCTCCCTACAAACTGCAGCAAAAGCAACACTTGAGAAAACCACCATCAAGAAGTCCATGATCATGTTGTGAGATGTGAAAAACGCAGCGTATAGGGCAACCCTGCAGACAGTAGCAACACGTAATGTGATGGAGAATTATCGTTAGAAAAAGAGGATAAACGTATTTTCAGAAGAAAGAACAAGAAAAACGTTAGCGTAAGAAAATCGAGATGTACAGGAGTCAGAATGAAATCAGAAAATTTTACCAACGAGTAAAACACCAAACCGAAGGCTTTGATGCAGGCACATCCTCCGATAGAGATGAAGAAGGAAACCTGGTGACAGATACAGACAGCGTGCTGAGGATCTGGAAGGAGTATTTTGAAAAGCTTCTGGTTTCAAATAGTGACGGTGAAGAAAATACCCTAGAACCAATAATAGATGACGGTATAGAGTGTATACCACCTAGCCAAGATGAATAGCAATCAATCGGCTCAAGAATAATAAAGCAGCAGGTACCGATGAGTTACAATCCGAACTATTCAAGACTGGTGGTCATTTGCTGGTGAGGAGCATGTATCAGCTGATTAGAACAATTTGGCCAGAGGAATGCATGCCCAATGATTGGAACCTCAGCATCCTGTGTCCCATGCTGAAAAAAGGAGACAAGGCGATATGTGCCAACTATAGAGGAATTATCCTTCTTTCCCTCGCATATAAAGTGCTATCCAGCGTACTGTGTAAACGATTGAAGCCAATGGTCAATGACATTATTGGACCATACCAATGCGGCTTCAGAACTGGCAAATCCACCATTGACCACATTTTCACCCTGCGCCAAATCCTGGAAAAGACCCACGAAAAACACATCGACACACACCACCTATTCGTCGACTATAAATCCGCATTCGACAGCCCTATCCGTTCAGAGGTGTTTAAAGCCATGTCTATGTTTGGCATTCCTACAAAATTAGCTTTGCAGGATAACTTTAACTGTCACAAGATCAGCAATTAAAGTCGGAAAGGACCCAACGGAGCCCTTCAATACAGAACAAGGATTCAGACAAGGTGACAGTTTGTCGTCACCTTGGAACTTTACCTTTGCGTCACGTATGACCTTTTCCTGCTGGAAAAGGTCATACGAGACGCAAAGGTAAACGAAAGTGGCACTCTGTACACAAAACAACACATGTTACTCGCCTACGCCGATGACATCAATATAATGGGTCGAACATTGCGAGCGGAACAAATTGAAAGGGAGTCTGCCAAAGTGGGTCTGGCAGTAAAAGGCGAGAAGACCAAGCTGATGGTATCAACGCGCAAGACGTCCAGTAGAATCGGACCAACTGTTGAACTTGAGAACTACAGATTCGAGGTAGTTAAAGATTTTTTATACGAATGACATCAGTTTTTAAATTCGGAGAAGGATTGTGATAGCCAACATATGCTACTATGGTCTAAGTAAGCAGTTTAGAAGACAAGACACTGATACCACCCGTGCTGGTGTATTGATCTGAAGCATAGGTACTTACGCAAGCAGATGAGTCAGCTCTTGGAGTGTTTGAAAGAAAACTTCTCCGAAAGATTTACGGGCCGATCTGCGTCGACGGTGAATATCGGCGACGAATGAACCACGAGCTTCACAATTTACACGCGGACATTGACATAGTCAGTCGTATGCCCCAGCTCAAAAGGTATATAAAAGCGAGCCTACTGACCGCTTCCCGTAGAAGGGAAAGGCCACGAATCAGATGGAAAGACCAAGTAGAAAATAACATCCTGGAACGTGGTCTTTCAAATTGGAGGAGATGCGCACAAGACCGACGCGACCGAAAATCTTTTTTTAAGCTCAGCTTATGGAACAACCGTTCTGTAACAAGTGTTAAACCTTGAAAAAAATCAGTAAAAAATCCATGCATTTTGTTAAACCTTGAAAAAATATTCTTTAAAAAATCCAGGCCTTGAGTAAGGCCTTGAAAAAATATTCTGTAAAAAATCCACGCCTTGTGTAAGGTCTGAAAAAATATTCTTTATAAAAATCCACGCCTTCTGTAGGCCTCGTAAAAATATTATTTTTTATTAAAAACTTTTTGTTAGGTCTCCCAAAATTATCCAACCAAAATCAAAGTCCCAATCAAATGAAATTCCAATTCAAATAAACATTCAGCATTGAAAACATATTTAAACATGCGTTTAAAGAGATACGCATGGGTCCTAGTTGATGTATCAGTCCGTACACACATACTTATGTATGTTAATATGTTTGTATATTTTTTCTACTTTTTCTTCAGGACTCGAACAAAACCCTCAAGAATGTTTATTGTTATGGCGTGACAATTGTTTATTTAACAATTTTATTTAATTTCCTATAACAGTGATGGATGAGACAATAGCAGAAGTCGGACAAAAAATTCTCCGTCATAAGAAGTCAACATTTTTTTGCTAATATGGGACAGGGTTTTTAATTTCGTACAATTCTCTTCTTTCATGTAATGTCTCTGAAGGTATTTTCTGTCTAATAGGTTTTTTGTAGGACCTTCCCAAAATTCCATTGCAAGGTCTGCTATATTAATTTCCACATCGATGCAGACATCTTCACTTCTCTATGCCCCCTCAACATTCTACCGTCCAGTCCATGTTTCCTACTACGTCATCCTGGGTCAAGTGCTATGAATTGAACACAAGTGTTGATAGAATTGTTTAGTTAGTACACAAACAAATAGACAAAATAACAACAACCACAGCAACAACAACCCGAAGTCCTCATCTGTGCTGCCTATGGTAATTAATAAATTGTTGCAATAGTTCAGCGGGAGACACACGAAGTGTGTGAGTGGTAGACAACGAAAAAGAAGAAGAAGAAATACCAATAAAATATACAAATTATGTTTATTAATGAATTTCATTAAACGATTAATAAAATATTTCACCTCAAAATAAATAAGCAATGACTATGGTACCCCCAATAATATCCGCCATATTTCTTTGGTTAGCTATATTTAAATTACCCACAGGCAATAACAAAAAAAAAAAAACACGAAAAACAACAAACATTTACCATAATCATTAAATACTTCAATACACGCTCACTCACTTAACGCAAGTGATTGATCGCCATCGATCAAATGATTTTTTCCATCCACCATATCAAACTCTCCCCCATCAATAGTCAAAGAATCGTTGCAGATCGTTCAATTGACGCCCCATCAATATGGACACAATGCATGAAAAATACTTAGAGAGAGGGAGAGAGACACACAATAACTGAGAGAGTAAGTGAGATAGAGAGCCTATCCAACAGATCATTAACAATGGACAACAAATTGTTGGGGTCGCATGACTCCGCCTTTATTTGCTTAGCACATGATGCGACGATTGGTGATCGTATGGACGAGAGAAATACACACAGCTCCCACATACAAATAAACATACTCAAAGCCCACATATGGGTACATATTTAATACTCACTCTCAGCACATACATAATGAGAATACGGTGGGTACCCACCCACATATATTAAATAATATTTTTCGAAGTTTGAATTGTTTAAATAATATTTTATCAAGGCCTGGATTTTTAAAAGAATATTTTTTGAAGTCCAAACAAGGGGTGGATTTGTTAAAGAATATTTTTTTCTAGGCCTACAAGATTTTTAAAGAATATTGGCGGAATTGATTGCAGTTCTACGTAAACTCAGTGACATTATCGACAGGTCTCTTATGAAACTGAGTCGGAGTCATCAACGGTTTGCTGGACTATCATTAACATCATAAGCAAACCTCTAATAGGGAACGATAAGTTCTCTACTGTGTTCCTCGATGTAGACGAAATCAATAAAACCTTACTAATAATAATGTCATAATTTAATATTGCAAAAATGGCGCCCAAGCAGAGAGTTAGGATATGAACATTGAGGTCTCGACAGGTCTCGAATGAAACTGGGTCTGAAACGTCAATTTTTTTGGACTATTATCGCAAATAATGGAAAAATTGCGCCCAACGTGAGGACAGATAGGTACGATATGCACATTGGCGGTATTGATTCCAGTTCTACATATCGACAATGACATTGAAAGATATCTGCTGAATAAGTGTCTGAGCCGTCAACTGTTTGTTGATCTATCAATCGCATGCAGTATCGACAATGACATCGAAAGATATCTGTTGAATCGGAGTCTGAACCGTCAACTGTTTGATGGCCTATCATTCGCATGCAGTGAAAAATAAAAAAAAGCGACCAACACGGGGCAGATAGATACGATATGCACATTGACAGTAATGATTCGATAATGACATCGAAAGATATCTGTTGAATTTGAGCCAGAGTCGCCAACTTTTTGTTGACCTATCATTCGCATGCCGTGAATCGGAATGTATGTGCAAGCATTGCCCCATAAGTGCTAGACAGGTTCAAAGTCAATGACTTCGTATTTGCCCAAAGCTATTTTATCCCATTTAAAGTCGGTAACTGCTAGTCTGCGCTGCCGATTGGATATTTGCTTTGCGTAGCCACTGCATCCACATTTTAAGGGACGAGCTGCAGGTTTTTGGAGCCGAATATTTTTCTCATGGCCTAAGACAAGGCGTGGATTTTTAAAGAATATTTTTTTCAAGGCGTGGATTTTTAAAGAATATTTTTTTCAAGGCGTGGATTTTTAAAGAATATTTTTTTCAAGGCGTGGATTTTTAAAGAATATTTTTTTCAAGGCGTGGATTTTTTAAAGAATATTTTTTTCAAGGCGTGGATTTTTTAAAGAATATTTTTTTCAAGGCGTGGATTTTTTAAAGAATATTTTTTTCAAGGCGTGGATTTTTAAAGAATATTTTTTTCAAGGCGTGGATTTTTAAAGAATATTTTTCTCAAGGCCTAAGACAAGACGTGGATTTTTAAAGAATATTTTTTCAAGGCGTGGATTTTTTAAAGAATGTTTTTTCAAGGCCTAACACAAGGCGTTATTTTTTAAAGAATATTTTTCAAGGCCTAACACAAGGGGTGGATTTTTTAAAGAATATTTTTTCAAGGCCTAACACAAGGCGTGGATTTTTTAAAGAATATTTTTTCAAGGACCTATACAAGGCGTGGATTTTTTAAAGAATATTTTTTCAAGGACCTATACAAGGCGTGGATTTTTTAAAGAATATTTTTTCAAGCCCAATTTAAAAAATATTATTTCACTTTCGATATTTATGTCTTGGACCCACTGTGCCACCACAAGTGTCTGTTTGTTGGTGTTGCTGAGATTCCCCATTCACACCAACGACAACAACAACAACCAGCAGCAGCAACAACACAAACCAAGCACACATTGTTTGTATTAATTTGTCGAACACACAATCATCGATCGATGATCGTTCAATCGCAGCCATAGGCATTTCAGTTCGATGTGGGACGTCTTACAAAACGTTTTGATCTGTTTTTTAACAAAGCGATAAAAACAGGCGGCGGAAAACGAAACTGAAATAAAAATTTACCTTTAACGAAATCGAAGATAATTTAGTGGCGTCGGTAACAGAAATAAAATAAAAATTAAAAGAAGTGAAATATAATAAAAATTAGTAATAAAAAATATTTTATAAAAAGTGATGCCATTGTAAAAAAAAGAAAAAAATATATTTAAATGATATCAAAACAGCAACAAAACATGGCCATACTCGATGAAGAAATAAATTTTGCCCAAAATAAAATGGAAGAATTACCAACCAATTTAAGTTTAGATAAAAGCCATAATTGTGATCGTAGCCCTTCGGAGGGTGGTCCGACAAATTCTTCCCCAAGTGGTGGTGTTGAAAAATCAGAGCAAAATCAAGAAAAAGATCTATCCAATGAAACACGAATTCATTTAAGTTTTAGTGTCGATCGTTTGTTAAATAATAATAAAACGGAACAGCAGCAACAACAGAATAGCCAGCCCAAGTCGCTGACGGAAGCGGATAAATGTTGCGCGGATATGCAAAATGGTTATTCCTGCTGCTCTCTGCCGAATTGTTTAGTAGGCAGCAATCACCCGTCATTACCGTTTGGAGGACATCATCATGGCGAAGAGGATTCGACAATGACGACGCAACCAGGAAATTTTATGGATTTTAAATCGATTGTTCGACCAACACCTATGCGTGCCATGGGAGGCAATAATGGCCCTGAACAAGGTAATTCTTTTCGAAAAAGACTGCAAAAAGTCGTTGAAAGGTTATAATAGATGAAAAAATGATATAACCTTAATTCTGTCATAACGAAGATCGGTCATATTAAACATTTTTCTAATATTTTGCAAAATAAAAATATTCAAAAAAAAAAAGCAATCGGTAGGTCCAGTGATCCCATACTATGAATGATTTCTATTAGTCTATAAGAAAATACGACCATTATAATTTCCCTATAGTTCAAAATCTGCGGCCATATGAGGAAGAAATAATCTTCCTCATATGTACCAATTGGGATATCCTATCGTCGGAACTGCAGACTTCATCAAGACTTAAAAAGATTTACAATAGCCAGTGGATCCGCTTATCAGCATATCTGCTCTTGGGTAAATCATCAATTTTTGAGCTTATTAGACCAACTTTTTTACTTAGAGTAATGTGTTCCTCACCTCCTTCCTACCCGACCCTCTCTCCCTCAGGCATTCCAGACATAAGTTCCAACGATTGTTAAGTCATGAGAATGAGTTTTTACCTTTAGCGTAGGTTCATGAATCGATCTAGCCCTATACTATGTTTGGCAGATCATATACGTCATATACATCAAACACGTAGGCCTCGCCTAAATGCTTAGGAGATGAGTGTTATTGCCATCTTATCAAGTTGGACTTTATCGTGGTCTACTTCGTCGTGTCGCAGAACTACAGAAGCCTCATACGCGATTAACTCAATTCCTACACAATACCATTTTCGCAAACTATCTGCGGAGTCTGAGTCTGCTGAGTATATTCCACTTTTCCTAACCTCTGTATTAACTAGCCAAGTAAAACCATTAGCAGTATTTTGGGATCACACAATTCGTTCTCGCTTTTTTGGTGTCAGCAGAGTCGAATTTGAATCCCGATCGATCAACCACTCGTAATCGGCATTCAATCAGCATAGATATTCAACCACTAATTCGACAGCGTCTCCAAGTTCCGAAATACTCTACATCTGTCTTGCCTTTTCGTCATTCTTTCCCCGTAAGAAGCTAAACTCTATCGATTTCGCCCTGGTGTCACCTTACTAAGCAAAAATACCGGTACATAAGGCGATATGAACTTGAATCTGCTTAGCTTCTCAATTGTTTGTTGAAACATCTAACAGGGAACGATAAGTGACTACTGGAACTCTAGATATAGACGGAATCGACTATATCTTACATAGAATCATGGCATAATTTTATATTGCAAAATTGGCGCCCAGCGTGGGACAAAGAAATGTGATATGGACATTGTCGGAATTGATTGCAGTTCTACGTAAACACAGTGACATTATCGACAGGTCTCTGATGAAGCTGAATCGTTGAACTGTTTGTTGAACAATCATTAGCAAACCTCTAATAGGGAACGATAAGGGGCTACTGGATACCTCGATGTAGACGAAATCGACAATACCTTACTAAGAATCATGTCATAATTGTATATTTAGAAAATGGCGCCCAAAATGGGGCAGAGAGTTACGATATGCACATTGAGGGAACTGATTACAGTTCTACGTATCCACAGTAACATTATCGACAGGTCTATGAATAAAACAGAGTCTGAGCCGTCAACTGTTTGTTGGACTATCATTATCCATTACAAATAGAAAAATGGCGCCCAACTTGGGGCAAATAGCTACGATATGCACATTGACAGTACTGATTCGATAATGACATCGAGAGATATCTGTTGATTTTGAGCCAGACCCGCCAACTGTTTGTTGACCTATCATTCGAATGCAGTGAATCGAAATGTATGTGCAGGCTTAGCCCCATAAGAGCTGGGCAGGTATTTGGCTAAACCTCATTTACTCTATTTTAAATCGGATTTAGATGCAGTGGCATTGCGTAGTCACTCCATATAAATCTTAAGATCCTTAACAATGTTATGTCATAATTGTACATTACACAATGAGGCGCCCACTGCGGGCGAGATATATACAATATGCACTTTTATGACCTATTTCCATTTAAATAAAAACACCTGACGGTGAGCCATATTACTGATAATCCTGGTTATGCATTGCGGAAATGGCGCCCAACATATGACAGAAAATTACAAGTTATGATTTTTCCAATTACTTGGGGTCGTGTATATTGCCCAACTAGTAGACTTTTACAATTCTTCCATTTTTAGAAATTCTATCCGTAAAAGACCATCTAAAACCATCTATAGAAAATCAATTTGATGTTTATAGAATTTATAAGATTTCTTAATCTTATGTTGGTTTTTTATGTGTGAATTTTATATTTATGTTCTCTCTTTGGTTAAAATTGGCGCCCAACTGGGGCACAGAGAAGTACTATTGGCTCTTCTATGGCTTTTAAATCAAAAACAGTACAACAAGTCATTTTTTGACAGTTCTGATGACACATTATCTAAATGACGCCCAACATGTGACCCAAAACTACGAATTTTTATTTTCCAATTACATGGGTCAAAAGATTGCTGTGTTTTGACCGATTAGTTTTTCCGAAGTTTTTCCATTATTAGAAGACCTGTTGAAGTTTTGGAAATCATTTGAAAATATTCCATGAATATAATTACTGTATTCTGTCTCAAGAGGATTTCTTACTCTTGGGACAGAAGACAGTAATTTTATTCATGGAATATCTTCAAATGATTTCCGATTTATAAAAAGCCTATTGAATGTTTTTGAATTTTAGGATTTTATTTAAGAAGTACTCTAGTAAAGATGGCGACGAACATGAGGCAGATATGAAAGTAGTGTCCAATATGGGACAGAGAAATACAATTTGTGCTTATTTGACCTATTTGTTTTTATGTCTTCCAAATATTACGACCAATAATTATATTGATTATCCTAATTATACATTATGAAAATGGCGCCCAATATGTGGCCAAATTCTTCAGGAAATCCTCTATTATTAGAAGACCTTTTGAAGTTTCGTATGTGAAATGCCTATCATGGCTTCTATTGAAAGAAGGCCCCTGTAGTATGGGAAATCCGTCTAAGGATACTTTATTTGTTTACCCCCAACTTTGTGGCTAATGTATATGTATATACACTTTGATATGGCAAAAAATAGTAAAAATTTGGTTTGACACCCCATGTTTCTTTCACACATTTTTGGAGTCGATTTACAAATGCCCGTCCATCTGTCGGGCTGGTGCGCACGATATCTCTCGAAGGGAGTAACCACTTTCATCCAAACTTTGCGCATAGTAATGTTTCTTCCAAACTTAGTTTATGTTCGATGTTGGGGAATATCGGTCCACTCAGTAATTCCCCCAAAAATGGACGGCAGACCTTTTGAAAAGTTCATATATATTAAGGGTCATCTGAAAGTTATCTATATATGGATGACTTTCCTTTAAAAAAATATTATATATATTATGTTCTATGCATCATACATCTAAGGTAATATATCTGGATGGATTATAAATTCTACCCATCGAATATCTCTAAACCTCTTCCTTTTGAAAGTAAATTTTTTAAGTTTCTCCATGTGAGACCTATTCAATACCTTACACATATGGAAGACCCTTTTTGTCTCTACAAATTCCCAAATTTTAATTTTCAAATCCCAATATCGAACTCTTTACCACAATGTGTTCCAATAAAAATAAAACATGTTAATTATTTAATAAAAAATAATATTAATAGCAATAATAATTGTTATGTTTTATTTGTGCTCATTAGTGGGCTTCTTTACTGGTAATGTTGTTGTTGGTGCTGCTGTTGCTCTTATTTGTTCGAATACAGGAAATTGCCAACAAATGTTTGATAACATTCCAATGGAGGCAATAAAAAGATTGTTTATTTTCACAAGTGGTGAAAACTTCTCCACCACTGGATATTCATTTCGGCCGACCAGAGAAAATTCAAACCACAACAGCAGTAGCAACAACAACAACAATAGCAACAATTAGCACTCATTCAAATTTCAACGAAACCAATAAAGATCCCTAGTGGACTGATGTCTTAATAAGAAATTAAGAATGATATTCTATTGATTATTTATGAAAACAACAAAAACGATGCAGAACAATGTAAACAATTGCAGTTGGTGGGGAGGCAGGAAGAGAGGAGGGGAAGGGAGATGAACGATGCCACACACATGCAACCCACCTAGAAGAAAATGCAACAAACTTGGCAAGCCGAACAAAATTAACCAAGCTACCCATCTCCAAGTGATTGGTAGTCAAATTAGGTTTTTGCTCCCCTCTCCAAATTTCATTTAAAATCCGAAAAATGTTCTTTGATGTCCGCACAGCAGGAAGACATTTATTTGAATTTTTGTTGTACATTCTTGTTTTTTCTTATTGGTTCAGTCATTCCTTTTTGTTTTCTTCGAGTGTATAGATTTTTTGTTGTTACCATTTGATGCAAAAAAAACAATAACCATTTGTTGGGCATTGTTGGCCCCTGATTTGAAGTTGATCAGTTTTCCAGGCAGCCAGCCGCATTTGACTATTTCTGCAATACCAAAATTTTTCACACAATATGGTCACAGATGATGCTGATGAAGCGGAGGCTACTCACATTCTCCTTATGTCTCTCTCATGTTTACATTGAATTTTCCGATTATGTGTTCAATACTTTTCTGAATAATTATCCAATGCATCGATTTACCGAACCACCAACCAACCGATCAGTTTGATAAAATATCATTATGGATCCACCTTGCTCGATCTGTTGGCTGGCTACCTCATCGCTCTCTGCATGTGCACAAATAAAGATGAAAGAATTTTATATTCTGATCGCAAATCGATTCGAAATTAAGTGTTTTGCATTGTTTATCGACTGACGAAGACAATTTGCATACCCACATTTTGTTTTTTTGTGGCTGGAACATTTATTACAAAACCAGCTGCATCGCCTGGCATGGTTTCTCTTCATAAAATACGAAAATATATAAAAATATTCAATATTTATTTTTTTTTTTTTGAGTTTCAAGGAATTTTTAATATTCAATATTCTAAGGAGAAGCACACTTTAAGAAATTTTAAAAATATTTTTAG